GATTCTTGACCTGTGACTGTGAGTTTTTAATTTTCTGATGATTTTTATTGATTTTCTTTTCGTAATTTGTTTATTCTTTTGAATGTATCTTGTTTTTCCTGGACCTCTATACAAAACCATCGGGGTACTGAGGGAGATATTTTAAGCTTTTGCTTCTCCCTCAAATAGAAATGGTTTTGCTTTTAATGGCTACCGGGGCCGGTACCCCCTGAAGACGTCGGCTTCGGTGGTCATATTTTTATTTTATTTCATTTGTTTTGTATTTAACTGCTATATTTATTCAAAATTTGAACATTTCTAAAGAGCTCGATATTTTAATTTCCTCATTGACATTTCTGTAAAGTGATGAGAAGAAATATTAATTTTTCACTCTTGATTTTTGGTACTGTTTAAGTTAACAAATATTCTAGAAATTTGATCATTTTAATTTGATTTATGAAACAAATAAATATTTACAGAAACAAATTATATTAAGTAAAACTTAAATGAACAGTTCATTGGTTAAGCAAATTTTAACAATCACTACGTGTTTGTAGTTTAATAAATAAAAAAATTTCATTGCCACAACCATTGCTCTTGACTTCCTTATCTATGCATATGTATGGTAATTTCATTTTAAAAATGAACTATAAAATTATTGAAACAACATTTTTTTCAGATTTGATAATTTAAAATATAACTTTTCAATTCAAATAAAGAAACACTTTGCAGAGACATTTATCAATATTGTTTAATATTCTCTCACACTCAGGTACGCACTTTTTGTAGTGATTGCACATCTTCTTAATAACTTTGTTTATGTAATTATGTAAGTAGTTACTTATGTAAGTAGTACGTAAACATGAAGGGTTGTGAACCATTGTTGATAAAAGCCTCTTTCTTTTACCTTATCATCTGCCTTTCTTGTTAAAACTCCTGTCAAAAATACAGCTAAAACGGGACCTTCCAACGAAGATACAAAAACATTCATAAGTTGAACAAGACTTCTTACTTCTAAAAAACAAAAACTCAATCCGATGCTTGCTCCACCATACACAACAGCTGTAAAAGGTAAATTTAGAACAATCATGTTAGTTGCTTTTTGTAGCAACATCCTATAAAATACATAATCGTGAACAGAAAGTTATGACATCAAAACTATTAATTTAAAATGAAATAATACGAGTGATGGTAGTGTTAGCTTTAACTTAAAAAAAAAAACATTGATAAATCTTCTAATGGAATATATTTAAAACTGAATCTCCGTTAACTCTTTCTATTTATCATTATATTCATTACTATTTTTCATCTTTTAGAAATTTCATGAAGTTATTCCTTTTTAAAAGTTAAAAATATTCACTATTATGTACGCACATGTTAAGTTTTTGAACACTCTTTTTGAATAGAAAATTCTAGTCGACCAAACTTTCCATGCTCTTAGACCAAAATAGAGACACGAAACTTACTAATTGTACATCAATCCAAATTTAGGCTTAGGAAGTTGTATCTATTGTTATCATCTATATAATATATATATTATATACATTGCATAATTGCAAATATTAATAGGTGTCATTTTTTTCAAGATTTTATAGACAATCGAAATATTATGGAGGTGAATGACCACAAAAACTGCTATAAACCTCCATTTTAAGCTTCAAAACTACTCGTCTAAGATATCCAAGTTTGTCTGATTTTTAATGTACTCTATGCATCCAAAACAATGATAGGAATAAGCAGGGTTAATGGATTTAAAAAAATTCAGCTTTTTATCTAAAATTATTTTAAAAATTCCTAAATAAAGAGAGTGGCATGCAAATCTCAAAACGATCTTTAAAACGTCTATGTTACGTTCTTCAAAAGAAATTAAAAATAATATTTTACACTTAGAAGCATATTTTAATTACTGTTACTCAATTAATTTTTAAAATGCATATAATATATAGATTAATTTTCATGATANAGTGAAAATTAAAGCCGTCCGATATTAAATTCTGTTAGATTAATTACTGGAACTGGAATTCATTTCAAAGTAGTATATTCAGGAAAAGTTCGATCAGTGTCGAAAAATGATATTCTAGTTACTTATAAATTTATATAGAAATAACAGATGATATTTGTATGCATTGGAATACATAAATTTGTGTCTTTAAATTATAAAAATTGGAAAATAACAAATTTCTATGTTTAATCTCCTGCTGATTCCTCTTTCAGTCTCTGGAGAATAATGCCAATAATAATTAGATGTCATTTATAACAAAAATAATGTATTGTACAAAGTTGTCTGCTTTTGCGACTTTTTTCCTAAATATTTTAAAAGGATTCCCTTAGCCTAATTGAAAGTTAAAGGAAGGAAAAGAAAAATTGTATTAATCAAATTTATGCTTGCAAACATGCATCAGAAAATATAGATCAAAATTTGGACATACACAGTATTTTTACCATCCACACAAATTTCCTGTCAGATATAACTCCTCGCTTTCGTTCATACAGTGGTTTGATGAAATCTAGAACTGTCACAGTGGAAGCTGAATTAAAGCAAGAAGATATAGTACTCAAAGAAGCACTAAAAATGCCAGCAATACAAATCCCTGTCATTCCAGGTATTGAACTGAATTTGTTAACAATAAAAGCAGGAATAATCTAAAATTTAAAATACATTATATTTTAAATTACTTACTTTTGGTAAGTAATAAAGACATTTGCAGTTTAAAGGAAAAAATACCTCCGAAGGAAAAAAACATTTGTAAAATTGAGAACCATGTACAGTAGCTGCCAACTCTTCCAATTTTCAGTAGAGAATTTATTTTCTTATTTAAAGTCGTAACGAATCTCATGTTATTTCATTAAACTTTTTGAATAATATTAAATAATTATGTTTTACCACCACTGCATACTAATAATTATAGCAAATTTATAAAAGTATAATTGTATTTACGATAGAAAATTTCAACCAGGTCAAAATAAAAATATATTTTTCTGTAAGATTATTTTTAATTATTGTTTTTCTACCACTTGGAAAAGTTATTCTCGGAAAGAGCGAAAGTTGCCCATGTATGCATATGTCTAATTAAATCGACGTGTTTTTGGCTTTATAAACTTAAAATGAAAAGATTTACTTAAAAGTTGTAATATACATAGTAAAAAAAGAATTTAAATTGATTTAATGAAACCTTTTAAACATAATTTATATTGCTTTTTTATGCTATTTTTTAAAGCACGAATAAATGAATATATACCTTCTTAAAACCAATTCTTTCTAACAAACAAGTACAGATAAGAAAAATTGCTTTCCCTCAAAACACATAAATCAAACGTATCTTTACATCAAAAAATGAAGGAAAGGATCAAATCATTAAATTGAATGAGATTTTAATAATATAATCGTTAGGAACAAAAATGTACGAAAGAATAATGTTTATGTAGCCGCATCACATGTGTGCCAAAGTTCTAAGTTAAGTCTTTAACTCTGTTTAGTTGATTAGTTTTCTTATCTAGTTAGTAATTCGATTATTTATTTCGAATATATAATTTTTTCTAGTTTAATGGAACTCGTCAAAATTTTTCCTGGTGTGCATGAGCAATTTAAGCGATAATGGAGGATTTTCCGTAATATTATTTCGCAATATTATTTTTTTATTCATTGTATCTCTCCCAACTGATTAGCCGTAGGATCATATTAGAATTATTTATTGACCAATTATGTATGAAAAGACTTACTGGAACAATTAAATCTTTAAAATGAACTTTATATCTTAAAATGGGAATAATACTACGACACATAGGTTGAGAAAGCCGCGATGATTAAAGTTTATCTTCAAAAAGTTCTGATGTTGGATTATCTTCAGATGTTTCCTCGGCTGCAGATAAAGTAAAACGAATCTATATATTTGAAATACATCAGGAAATTAGAAACTAAATTGCTTTGGGGGAAAAATAAAATAAAATAAATCTGAGTTAAAGGAGTTAAACTTAGATTCTTACACACGTGTGATGCAGGGGTAATAAAAGTCCGGATAAGTTTTTCTGCACGAAACGAATTCTAGAAGAATATAAACAACTCACTTAAAATATCAAATACAAATATAGCCTTTCGTATGGAGCTAAGTCCTAACAACGTAAAAATAAGACAATAAAACATGAAATTATAAAAAAGAAGGTGGCATTTGTTGAGAAAACTTGAAAGATTAAAGTAAAACAAATGTTTGTTTGAAATTCTAGAGAAAAGTGGCGAACTAAGAAACAACTTGGCGCAAGACAATCAGTAATAAATTGAAGATCATTAGCTAAATTATGGAATGATGTAACGCTGTTGGCCAGTAATAATGAGTCCTATGAAAATCGTAAAGGACCTCTTATTCTATAAACTAGAGTGATGAGAAGTAAGTAATCTTTAGGAAAAACTTCCGGTGGTCACAAAACTGACCGGGATTTTTGGACTGTGAGAGATAAGAAAATTGAACTGGCTGCGTTCTGCTTGAAAAAGCATCGTTAAATCATCGAAAAGTTTTGGAATTTATAGTCACGGTGAAATAAATTTACAGCGAGTGATTTTTCACTCTTAATTGTTGTAAAAAGAGGCGTATATTCATGAAAGACTTGGAGCAATTGAATGATAAATCACATTTCCAAAATTGTTTAACATAATATTTTTGTGTTCACTTTTAGTGTAAACCGCAGCATTTTTCCCATGCAAAAAAAAAAAAAAAGAAAAGAAAAAAAAAACAAATCTCTAACCCTTTATATTTTTATCTAGAGAAAATGTTTGAAAATTTTTAAATACTCATCTAAAAACAATACTAAAGAACAGTTTAATGTAAAAGTGTCATTGATGAAAAAAATATGTCTTTTTACTATATTTTACTAAATTAAACAGTAAACACAGTTGAGTTTCATTTTCACACATAGTTGAATACACATATTTGAATGCATATTTCAAATAGGGAGTTAAAATATTTTTTATTAGTATACACATAGTTAAATTTTACTTTTTATGAATGTTACCTACTTGATCATATCTTTTAATTCCTGTTTGCTCCTTATTTAAAACTGGATCACAGTGATAATAAACAGAATATAATATCAGTCCAAACGTATGACATGAAACTAATGACAATGATGCAGGAATAATACTCATTTGAAATGTCCTGAAAAAAGTTTTCTACTTTTTACTCCTTTCAAAATATAAGTAATTGCTAATACTTATATTTTGGAGAAATTTAAGCACTTATTATATGACAAATATTGAATAGTGAAAATTAAAGCCGTCCGAAATTAAATTCTGTTAGATTAATTACTGCAACTGGAATTCATTTCAAAGTACTATATCTTCAATTCTCTGGTAAGAAATATTGGATTTTTGATTTATTATTCTAAAATTAGCATTTTGCCATCTATGACGTAATTATTTTGTTCAGCTGGATTATGCTGTCACAAAAATATGTCATAGTTGTCACAAATTGCAATCACTGATGATGAAATTGAAAAGACATTGAACTTTTAGAAAAGTCTTTAAAAGATCTGATCTAGGATAAGAATAATGAATCTCGATTAAACTGAAGAATAAAACATAATTACTTAAATAACTTAATAGACATGAAATAGTAAGAGACGGAATTCAATAATATATATTTAATGAATCATATAACTTTCATTTATCATACTTTGAGAAATTTTGTCCCTTATTTATATTTGAAGCATAGTTTCCATTTATTTAAATAAGATATACAATATAATAAGTATGTGTATTAAAATCTTAAAATACATGAAATTTGACCAAAATTTTGTGACTTGAAATGAAACAAGTTCTTTCTAGAAAAAAAGCATATTTATTAATGAAAAGTATTTAGAAAAATGTATTTAGTGTAATAAATATTTAGCCTTTAGTTGTATAGATGGTGTTCTGTAATAACAGCACATAATAAGTAGTTATAAAATCTTTATCGAAAATGTTTCAAAATGAGTTGAAGTTTCTCAAAAGTATTTTTTTTTCGGTTCCTTATAAAATATTTTAATGGTTGTCTAAAAAACAACATTTAATACGAATCAAAAGTTTACAGATAAAAGAATGACTTATCTCTATTTTCATTAATTACGCTTCTAAAAATTAATATACACTTATTATTATCTATAATTTTGTGAAAAAAACTTTTATATTTGGTGATTAGTTTAAATTATTTGCCAATCACAAATTAGACATTAAAAAGTTAAACCTCTTTGTCATAATACGTTGAAAATCGAAATAATTTTGGAAATTATTTGAGCATAAACCTACATTATGAAATCAAGACATTTCATATCCTTTTTTGAAAAAAGAATTTTCGAAATCCAATGATGAAACAGAATTATAATTAAATTGTACAAGAAAACATACAATTGTAGTCTCGCTTAAATCAAAGCATTTTGAATTGAGAAATGAAATAAATGAATGTTTCAATACTACTACTTTCAAGATATAAATCATTTAGTTAGATCAAAAAAGAAATTATACAATTTAATGATGTTCTCAAAAACAAGTAGAAAACAAGAAAAACCAACCAACTGAAAAAATTATTTGATTAGGAAAAGAGTAATAAAACATCAGAGTTAAATAATTCTATACCTTTTGAAGAAAGGATTATAGTTAAGACCATTCAATTGAAAAGTGATGTCACATCGTTTGAAACTTTGATCCTTTTTAGGAAATTTTGAAATACTCGAAAATTTCCTTGATTTTTGAAAATTATGCGAAGAAAGAAATAATGCGAAAATGTTTAAATTATAAAAGTGATATTGTTAGAACAAATTATGACAGAAGTGTCTGAGTTGTCAACATCGTTAAATGACATGATTTACTAATATTGTTAGAAAAGCCATTTTTGCTTCATTTGCTCATTGAATTATGAACAAATATAACGTAACAAGTTTTAGTTTTGGAATAAATTTACGTAAAAAAGTCAGAAGGGTATATAAGTTGTTTCGAAGATATCAAAATTTTTGTCAGTACATTTTTTTTAACTTATCAATTGCCAAAACAAGATCAGAGAAAGGCACTCTATTCAAACACCTCACATTTGAGAAGAACTGAATCCTGGCTCATTTGATTTTGCTAAATAATGATCCAATTTACAAATCCTTATTGTCACTATTTAGGCAGCTATAAAATATACTTATAAAATGAATTAAATTCATGTTTTCATCGTAATAAGTCGAATTTAACCTTACCTGACAAGAAATCTTATATCTCATCTGGCACAGAAAATTTCGATTAAAATTTTAGACAGGGAGTATATTAGTAACCACGACTGTTGATTGCGAATTCAAAAAAACGAGATATATTTGAACTGGATAATGTTTAATGAAAAGGGGTTGCTAAAAATGGCCGACTTTTAAAAGCAAATAGTTTTAAATATTTAGTGGCTTGAAATACACTGACGGAAAAAAATCCCAAGAAGGAGTTGTGCAAGATAAACTAAATTTAGTAGACTTGTTTATACAACTAAAAAATAATATTTATTTAAATTTCGTGCTTGGCAATACATTTGGAACTTACATATTTATGTTCTACACTTTGTAAGTTTTATTTTTAGTTAAATTTTGACATAGTGAACTTTCTTTCTTCGATATTGCTGAAAGACTGCGGAGAAATGTATCCACTGTGCATGGTTGTTGGCAGCAGTGGTCAAGCGAAAGTACTGCCTCGAAAAGTCCGGGTTCTGGGTGACCACATGGGAGTACTCAGAGGGAAGACCACTGCGTACAGCGCATGGCCATGTCGCACCGTACTGCGTCTGAATTAGAAACTCGAACTGCAATCGGCCCTGCAGTGTTCAAAGAACTGATACAAATCTGCTATTTCAAGTACAGCTCCAAACAAGATGCCTGTAAATTGCATTTCACTCACTCTAAACAACTGCCGTTTACGACGTAAGTGGTGTCGAGTTAAAGCTCACTGGAGGACTGAGTGGAGATCTATTTTGTTTTCTGGTGAAAGATGTTCTGCCTTAGTGCCAGTGATAGCTGAATATTGGTTAGAAGAAGGCCAACTAAACGCCTGTTGCCGACAGGTCTAGACACACTGAACCTGCATCTGGAGTTAAGGTCTGAGAGCAAATTCCTATGACAGCAGGAGCACTCTCGTGGCTATTACACTGCATTTTGAATGCATATTTGAAAGCCAACCGGGTGATTCAACCTGTTTTGTTGCCATTCACGAGCAGCATTCAAGGGGGTATTTTCCCACAGGATAACACTCGTCCTAATACTGCTGTTGTAACCTAACATGCTCTACGAAATGTCGACATGTTGCCTTGGCCTGCTAGATCACCAGATCTTTCCCCTAAAGAGCACGTATGGGACGACAACTTCAGCATAATTCATAACCAGCATTAACTATCCCGTATTGACTAACCAAGTGCAACGAGCATGGAACTCCATAACACAAAATGACACTCATCATCTGTATGACCCAATGCATGTCTGTTTGTATGCTTACAATAAAAATTCCGGTGGTTAAACCGTTAATAATGCACCAGTATTTCATATTCGCAATGGATTTTCTCTTAATTTCATTAACCTGTGATCTTGAAATTTAATCAATTAAATACGTTATTCAGACATACGTTATTCGTTATTTATTACTCTACAATAATTTCTTCATAGTGTAGGGATTTTTTTTTCATCGGAGAATTTACCAGACTGAAAGACTAAAAATAATTTCTGATTGCAGCATATTTCATTACGTTTCATTTCACAACATATTATTTTTTACTTACAACTAGTAATTATTCATGCTTTACCTTTCTCCTACTTATCTCATTCTCACTACCATTAATCAAATTTAACTTACTATAATTGTATATTTAAATGCCTAATCTTTTATTACAAATAAAAACGGAAAGTAAATGCAACCAAAAAATATAAGCTATTTAATCCAAACAATTTATTAAAAATATGTTTCGGAAAAACTTACGACTTAGCTCTTTTAAGGCTACTTAGACTAAGGACCCGTTGAACTTCGACTTGATTTGTCCCATAAAATCCGAAGCCGAACAATATTCCACGTGATATACAGGCCCAAAAGGTATATCGTTTAATGAAATCCAGGGAAAAGCTGCAATATACATATACACGCTACAATACATATATATANCGACTTAGCTCTTTTAAGGCTACTTAGACTAAGGACCCGTTGAACTTCGACTTGATTTGTCCCATAAAATCCAAATCCGAACAATATTCCACGTGATATACAGGCCCAAAAGGTATATCGTTTGGTGAAATCCAGGGAAAAGCTACAATATACATAGAGGCACTTTGAGTTTTTGACATTTTCCAAAATTTCTCAAAAAGTACTTAAAATACTATTTTATAAATTTACAGATGTTTAGTTCAAGCAACTTTTCATGCTTAACAATAAGATTTAAAATTTCAGAGGTATTGAAGATGGACAATAAATTACGGCAGAAAACTAGTATTTTTGAACACCCTATTTTGAACACCCTATGCTTGTAACTTGTATCAATTACTTTAATTGTTATTTTTAGTAACCCTGTAAAATTTTGCAAAACTAGAGTATATATTTATGAAATTATGTACATTTTTATAAAAGAAACAACTTTATAAATATTCAATATAGTCAAAAAAAATTTAAGCAATTTTAAATGAATTCCAAAATTTTTTATTTAAAACTTTTAAAACAAATGTTAAAATCACAGAAAGATATAAGTTTTTAAAGTTATTATTTTATGCTGCGCATGCGCGGAAATTTTTTAAAAATTTTTTTCCTTATTTTGTAAAGAATTTTTTTTAGAAAAAATTTTAAAACAATTCGGTATTTTACCGAAATTTTATATTATATCAAAAGACAAAGTTAATAACAAATTAAAATACCTTACAATAATCGTTCTAAAACAAAATATGATAATATATGGAAAGAAAACACACTTTTTATTTTGGATGATCCCCCACAAAACCGGTCTAACTTTTAATGAATCTTGTTTAATAGTACAAAATAAAAGTTCAGGACAACCCCTGATCGTTTTTAGCTTTCTTTTAAAAAGTAGCAAAACTCCTTAAAAGTTGTTTGAAACATTTTTAACTTTTTAAGATATTTAAATCAAACCTTTTTCATTAGTTGCCAAATACCTCTCTCTACAAAATTCACTACAAGAAAATGCATGCCAAGAAAATGCATATCCATGCATGCGCAGTATATAAAAACCTACCTTAAAAACTTCTAGCTGGAGCTTTTTGCTTGAAAATGTTTTTTAAAAAATTCCAAATAAATAATTTTGTAATTAGATTTAAATATTTACTCTAGGTCTAAGAAATTTTACGCGGTTCTTAAAAATAACAACTAAAGTAATCGATACAAGATACAAGTTTATTGCTTCATTTTCTAGCATAGCATCAAAAATACTTGTTTTCTTTCGTAATTTATTGTCGGTCTAGCAAACTTCAAAAAGACTTAAATTTTATAACTAAGTATGAAAAATCACATGAACTAAACATCTCTAAAGTTACAAAATAATTTTTTATTATTTTTCTTGAGATATTATCAGAATAGCCTTAAGAACTTATATCTTGCTGAGATTTTAAGAATTTTTTTTTAAATTCAAATAAAAATTTTGTAATTAATTTAAAATTGCTCCAACATTTTTTTTTATTCTACCGAATATTTATAAAATTGTTTGTTTTATAAAATTGTTCATAATTTCATAAATATTTACTCGGGTTTAGCGAAATTGTATGCAGTTATTAAAAATAACAACTTAAGTAATTGACACAAGTTACATGCTTATTGCTTGATTTTCTAGTATAGGGTGTTTAAAAATACTTTTTTTCCTTCGTAATTCATTGTCTATCTTCCATATCTCTGAAATCTTTAAATCTTATTGCTAAGTATGAAAAATTGTGTGAACTAATCATCTCCAAATTTATAAAATAATACGTTAAGTATTTTTTGAGAAACTTAGAAAAATGTCAAAAACTCAAAGTGTCTTTTTATTGCAGGGTAGTGTATTAGAATTTTAAAAAAAACTAATTCATTACTATTTGCAGTGCTAGCTGTATCAAATGAAGTCTAGGAAGTGAAACATTATTAAATCATCAATGGCGAATGAAGTCTTAGCAATAGAAAAGTCTTAACAAATGTTTCCAGCTTCCTACGATATTTAATAACTTTAAAATTATATCAACACTAAGACATTTCATTATAAATATATACTGTTATATATTAAAATGTAACCATGGTGTTTATAATTAATAATAAAGCCACATTGATTCAATATCGTTTAGTACCTCCTGATGTCATTCTCGGTCTATTGTATTATATCACTTAATGAATAATGATGAAAAATAACATGAACAACTGCACAACCGAAACATTACCTATTTGGTATACAACTAAGTAGAGCTGTACTAAACACCGCATATAAGTATACAAAAAAATTTATTCTTAGTTAATTCAATATCTATTATAAATTGCTATTCAATTCATTTTTTCCATCCTCTCATAATATTTTACTAAAAATAATTTTAAAATGATATTGAGAACTTAATTTTAATCGCATTATTAGAAATTAGATCCTTCAGTAATATTTATTATGCATCTCATCTTATTAAATTTATTTTTAATTAAAATTTGTAAATCTCGATTGTAATTCTTAAACATAATGAATAGAACCGTCATAGTGAGAAACTCGTATTAGTTAAAGTCACACAAAAGTTAAATATCATGTATCAATGGCTGTTTACCATTAAAAATTCTAAATATTCTAAATATATACGAATTTCATATATGAAGCACATAATAAAATAAACAATTTAAATATTGCATGCTTACTTTAACATTTTCAATCGATTGCCTGACTTGGCTTGATTATATATTTTAGATATACCACCTGCATCTCCTATTCCAGCAATATACAATGAGGTTAAACATGCCAGTATAAGTGCTGCTTGGTAAACGTCAGTCCATAAAACAGCCTTCAAACCACCCTGAAATAACTCACATTTTTAATCTTTTTCCTTAATTACTAAATTAAATAATTATAGCAGTGATTAAAAAAACTGTGATATTATTAGCTCACTGCAAGCGCATATTAAGGATGTAGCGTATCAAGCTATATTAGCGAACTGTTCTCTTTTTTTTTTTTTTTTTACAAAAACTTTTATTCCCAAACAACATAAACAGTAACAAATATGAAAAGATCATAAAACAACAAGAAAAACCCGTAACGAGATATAAGGAAACTCAAATTCCACAACAAACTAATCTGAAGAAAAACAGCAACTCTGTCGTTCTAAAAATTGACTTCTAATTTTATCGTCTGCTTTTATTTTCTTAAATTTATCTCTTTACGTGTTTATTTTATTTTATTTATGCTTTTGCCAGCCCGTTATTTTTAAATATTTTTGCTTTTATTTATGCTTTTGCAAACCAATTATCTTTTTTATATCTTTAGACATTACAACTAGCTTTAAAATAAACGAAAACATTAAAGACATGCTCACGTTTACGAAAACATAAAAAAAATATTATTTTAAATTGAATGCCTTCTACTATATTGTTTCAGAAATTCCACAATAAAAATAAAGAAAAAATTTTCCATATGCTGTAAAAAAATATTACAATGAATGTTTATATCTCGTTTCTCGTCAAAATTATAATTTATAGGGATTTTGCCGTGCAGCTCTATAAAAGTTAAACTAAAGAAAAATATAAACTACAGAAAGTGAGATGGAAATTATTCAAAAGTATGCATGATTAATGCTACTTGAAATCTTTAGGAGTAGATAATTGTGAATAAATTAAAGACCTAGATAAAAAAAAAACTGACATACATATTAAAAGACAATAAATATATTTCATAAAATTAGAAACTAGAAACTGAATATTTTTATAATAATTATTTTGTTTTAAATATTAAATGCAAAACCTATGTCAAAAATTTCAATGATCAACATTAACGTTGTAGCATCGATGGATTACGTCACTATATTAGTATTTCTAAAGTTATCTAATACCATATGTTTATTTTGCCTTCAATAATTCTTTTAAATTGTGTTTCTGTAAACGAAAATAATTTAAAAACAATGATAATTGAAATAAAAAAAATTAACTGTGCGAATGAAAAATGGTGCATGGTAAAATGAAAAATGGTACTAATTCGCTTTGGAGGTAAAAAGTCATCATACTATTATTGACGTCAATGATGCTTAATTAATTTCGGTAATAGGTACATACTGAAATAAAAAAATTTAATATGTAACTAAAAGTAAATTTAATGGAGAAAATTTATTTATATGTTTATAAGAGCTGTAATAAATGGCTATATTATTGACGAAAATAACGCTTAATTAATTTCGGTTTAATTTGAAACAAAAAAAATCGTATATGCAAAAAAGCAAAGTTAATAAGAAAACAGCACTATAGAAAATCAGCCACACTAATAATAATAATATTGACGCATATGACGCATGATTATTTGTTGTAATACGTATGATATTATGTTAATACGGTCAGTTTTATTAGGGAATTCAACTAATGATTTTCCGTAGTTTCAAAGAATATTTTTCCAGTAATAGGAAGAATAGCGTTTTAATATTTTAATGACGTCGAGTTAAAAGAATATTAAAATATTTTAAAAATATTTTAAGCAATGTATTAATTGCCAGATAGAGAAATGGGTAAAAGTCTTTATCGAAATGTTAAAGGAATTCCATTTGTTTTTAAAATTTTTGCTTCAGTTTGCTATCATTGATAAAAGTATTTTGCACAAGACTCAAATGCTGGAGACTTGTGCAATAAGTTTCAAATCTACTAATATATGTACAAACTACTAAGTTGATGTATTAATCATATATTTGGTCCACACTATAAGTGGGTGTGACGCATGGTTGTGGTTGAAGGCGAATAATTGGCCATAGATGACGCCACTGAAAAACAAGAACAATCGCACCCTCAGTGTCACGAAAACAACATTTGGTAATAATTAAAATTCACCAATAAATAGCAGTTTTAAAACATATACTGTGAAAATCCGTGTGCTAAGTTTCTTCACAGGGAATAAGTACGGAGAAAATAACTTGATAAGCAATGTTTTCGAGTCAAGTGATGCTAAATAAAGTTAATTTCCTGATGGAATGAACTACAAAAAAGTGTTTTGATTAATTTAACAACATAAAACCACCGAGAAGGGTAACAAATAACAATAATCTAAATCTTTAAAACTATGGACCTTAAAATTAATACTTTTACTTTTATATTAAAATGCGATTCACTAAAAAATGAAAAAAATTGAGAATCGCCTAGGTTACCCATTGGAAAAATGGTTGTTGTCTACTTTTTTTCGGAAAAGAAACTTTATCGTGTTTTTATTTTGGACATCTTTAACTGTTAATCCTAAACTGCTCACTGTTAAAATTTTCGTCATAAAATTATGGTAAAATAACTGGCAGCTGTCTGTCCATCCGATTAACCATAAAGTTTACGGTAAAGAACATTTTTTTCCTTTATGGTTTTGAAACCATTTACAAAAAGTATGGTTATAAAACCACGAATACAAAATTATACGGTTTTTTAACCATTTAGAACTAGCATTTTTCAAAAACGCAACAAAAAAAAAATCATTATTATTTAACTAGACGTAGGAGCTCGGCTTTTCCTAAGGTAATGGGTATTGGAGAGTGCTGGGCACTGGAAATTAAGCAATTCAGGGAATTAAAGAAATATTGTGGTGTCAACACTAGGACTCGAACTCCAGTTCTGCCGGTCATGAAATTCACCGATATGCCGACTCGGCTATGATATGCATGCCGTTTCTAAGAACTAAGTAGCTTCATTAGGTGGTTCTAGCTGGTGCGATAAAGTTCTGGGCTGTTTAACCGTATTAGGTGAAAGCAGTTAATAAACAGTTTTTCTCAAACTTAACAGCTTGATTACCATTTTATTTATGGCTATTTGACTGTTTTGATTAAATATGGTAAAATAACAATTCAATTGATTGTTATTTAACCATTTTTTCCGAGAAATTTCTATCAGTGCTCGGTACACAATTTCGCAGACATAATTAAATGCAACTCAGACACATTCTGTGTAAATTCTTTTGATGACAGAATAGACATTGAACAGCCAATCGTAATCAATATTAACATTTTCAGATAGGTACAATGGAGTTTGATGGAGATTGTAAGTTGCATCATACACCCGTTTCAGATTCACAAGTTCATATATCAAATATGATTTGAAAGCTAGGTTTTTTTTTTCCAATTTTGCATGAACAATGAATGAATCGCTTATATTAAGTGGAAAACAGTCAACTGTCTTGTGCAAGTTATTCGGTATGTTGACAATGGATCCTTTTATCCCTAACTGGTGATCAACACCCAGATCTCGTATTTGCATGAAAAGGGTTCGGAGAGTCACCATTCGTTATTCTGTAGGGTTCAATTCTCTCAACCACTTTGGTACTTTTGTGAAGGACCGAATTCATTCACTTTTTCAGTCTCGATAATTTTAGACCTTGACATAGTTTTTTTTCCTTGCTTAACTTTTGGGACCATGTCAATCAGTTTAGATTCTCTTTATTTGTGATATTCACCTGGATTAGTATTGAAAACGATCCGGTTTGAACTGTAGGTTCAAATTTCTGATTCTTAATTAAAGCAATAAAAACAAAAATACCGTACAAAGGATGAAATTGTCTTTCATTCGCAACTCAAGAAGCATTTATGGGATCTCTCTGGTCTCGTATCTCAAAAATAAACTCACCAACTTAGTACATAACGAAATTAGAAGTGAAAAAATGATTTCCAAGAAATATAGCAACCAGTAGCCGTCGCCATAGCAACGCATGCACACTGTGTACTATTACTCTTAATCATTGTAATTGAAAAGTGAGGACGCCATGAAGTCAAAACCAAGACCCATTTTTCTTATGGGTAATAAATAAATAATTATTTGAAATGATTTTAGGTTCATTAATTATGTCCGCATATGCCTTTCTGTTTCATGCATATATTTTTCAGTTGTAAGTTGCAAACACCAGTATGATATTACTTTTAACTGAAACACGCTTCCTGGATCAAAATTCTCTCTCTAAAAAAAAAAAACAAATAAAAATATGACAACGCTCTTTTTACTTAGTAAATTCTGTTTACTGTTTAATGTAAAAAATAATTAAGCGATTTGAGAGGAACTACAAAATTTGTCTGAGGTTTGGGAAGTAAATGAATGAATACCAGTATTGATGCTGGATCCCTGCGATGGAGCCGACCAGACGGCACTGTCGAGATTTGCAGCGGCCACCTGAGGAGTGGCTTCTTTTGCAATGGCAACAGAGTTTTCCCGGTTTGTGCAAAGTGCTGAGTGGAAAGTGCATCCCGGAGCACATTCTGGCTTGTCTTTCGCAACGGACCCCTTGCTTGCCTTGGATTTTTTGAGAGCGTATGGACTCCTGGATAATGTCTAGCTGCCGCTAGACAGTGAGGGGATTAGTCACACACATTGATGACGGATGCATACGAAATAATCAGGGAAGAATTTAACGTAGTCAGAATCTAGATAACTTGGAGGAAGCCGGACCGTCACCCAGCTAAATATGCGTGTATTTAGGACGATGTTGGCGAAAAATATTGTGACACTCTAAGTGAATATAAATTCGACATATATATTAGACAAACATATAGAACATAAATTAGAATATATATTGCGGGGCTCTTAGTGAACATCAAGACATACGGCATGTTTACAATTTTTGAACTCTTAAGAAGTTAAGCTGTATTAAATTCAATTAGGGGGCTTAATGAAACCATTATGAATTCATACCGTTTGCTCATGGAGAGTAACAAAGTTTCCTTATTATTTGTGAGATAATTCCTTTTAACTATTGCGTGTATTACTTTAATAACAGTCAAGTTATTTTCAAAATCTGCTCATGGTGGCAAATGAATCTGAAAAATCTTTGTGTGATAATAATATTTTAACTATTGTGTGTAATACTTCAACAATAAAAGTTCGCATAAGTTTACAGTCCGAGTCCCTCATTAAAACACATAAGGAAGTCCATTTAAAATCAAAATTAAAATTGTCTAGTTTTGTTAATAATAATAATGTGTACAATATGTATAATAATATAATAATAGCATATTGAAATAATAATATTTTTTAAGTTATATAAAATAATACTTTAAACTCACTGCAGAACAGTAAAGAGTACAAATTACTCCTAAAGATATCACAGATAGTTCTATAGACAAGTCTGTTACAGCACTTAAAGCTAAAACTGCTCCATAAAGATTCAAAACAATAAAGAATATCTAAAAGTAAACATTAAAAATATATATATGAAAGATCATAATATTGTTGCTGTAATATTAAAAATTAAAGTGAAATAATATGAGAAATTAAGAGACAAAAATTTATTATTCACCATTTGTACAACGAAGAACGCTGATATAATATATCTTGTCTTGCTTCCGAACCTTATTTCCAAAAACTGAAAAGATTTTTCATAATTGAAGTTGCATATAAAAACAAAACATATTATTGTTGGTTTCATTTTAATTTAAAAAATTTTTCATATTCTGCATAACTTAAAAATTATTTTGGAAAAAGAAACTTACTCTCAAAAATTTTTAGGTGTCTCATTTTAGAACAAATTATTGTATCTAAGTACGCAAGAGATGTTTTATATGCGTCTAAGAAACATTTAATTTTTATTCAAAAAATAAAGTTTCTAATTTTTAATAAAAATGAAAATATTGACTATTTCAAACTGGCAATTTTAAACTTATTTTAAAGAAGATAATCATAAATATAGTTTTTTTTCCGCTTAATTCATTACTTGCTATTTTTAAATTTAAATAGATAAGGATAGAATTCAATATTTTTCTAATTTATAATTTTTCTTAAAATACATATTAAACTCAGAATTATATTTTTTAATTTCCAGGAGAAAACTGAAGGAAGAACTTGCATCCTTAAATGCATTTTTGCAGCCTTAAATACAAAAATATACGTCATTTTCAATCAAAAACTTATACATTTATTAAATTTAGGATAATTTTGATCCATTTATAAATAAAATTCAAAAAAAGCATTTACCTTGTGAACTGTTGATACAACACACCGTAAATATGCTGGTATAAAACCCAAGATCGAATAACCATTCCAATGGGCATCATTTGTAGTGATATATCAAATTGGAAACCACATGGAAAGCTCGAAACGCGTGGTTCCGTGAATGGAAAAAGCTGAAAACGCGTGTTTACGAAAACGTATAAAGCTCAAAATGCGTGTTTGTAAAAATGGGCAAAGCATCTGATTTGATTTTTTAACTTCTTTTATGGGTATTTTTCCAAAGAATAAACTTGTAAATCGAAATAAATTTTGATGTTAATCATCGTGAAGGAATTCTTGATTTTTATCACGTGATGATAATCAAAATAAATTCGTTCTTTCTATCTTTTTTAAGGGACTTTAAAAGTCAACCGTTGTTTTCGCTAGGGTTTCGCTAAGGGGTGACATAAATTTATAATAGTGGTTCTAAAATTACGTTTATGAAATTAGAATTTAAAATTCACTTCATCGTTAGAGTCCGAATACGAAGAACTCACCTGAAAAGTTACTTTTATAATAATCCTAGAGACCCCAATCTCGAAGCCCGGAACTTTGACCCGTAATGATTATGCTTAGTGTTTAAATGAGTGAGGAAAAGTAAGCACGCAATTCCCAGTTTAGTTGTCGAATATGGGTTGATTACTAAAAATAAGCATCTTTTTTTTTTCTTTTTTTTTTTTTTTTTTTTTTTTTTTCTTTAAATATTTACTGGTCTGGCAGTCTTTGTAAAAGTAAAATATATATTCGCGACTCGGGCATGTTGGAAAATAATACAATATTTGAGAACTGATACGCTTCAAATTTTTATAACATGATTTTCCCTCAATAAGAATCATCTTCATTGTTACAGAAAAAGTTACATGAAGAAAAATTCTGGTATTGTCAATTTCCCCTTGTTCATTTCATATTGATCATTCTTTGACTGTAGAAACTTTTTCTCTCAATTATCTTTATAATTGATGTTTTACTTCAATTATCTCTAATTAATTTACATTTTGAGATTTTTCCTTTAAAACATTTAAGCATTATTTTGTTTTTCTAATGGGAATCGTCACTTTGAAACATTAAAATTCCATATTTCGAAAAGTCTGTTAGTTATTAATTACTACCTCTGCTCTTGTTGTTTCAGAATTATTTTTTGAAACATTATTAGATACAGTTTTAAACTTGAATTAGTACTTAAGCGTTTTTATTACCTTTTTGAAGTGTCGCAATGTCCACCTCTTACCAGCAATCACTATTAAGTGCTGCATTTATGTTTTTAAGGCGTGCCTTTACAACCAAATAATAAAAAAAAATAACAGAAATGATACTACATATTGAACGTTCGTGACACCAAATGTTAATACAAAAGTTTGTTGTTTTAATACGAGTTATTAAATAACTTAATAAAAAAAGAAAATGTTATTCGTTATATGTTCAAAAAACTTGATTTTCATGAGGATTATTTTACTAGTTTCTTTAGCTTTTTATGAAGAATAAAGTATCGTATTTCAAAGACAGTTACATTATTTACAAATATCTAGATTTTGTTTAATTGTTTCTACTCGCTGGGTTTTCTTTTGCATGGGTAGATCAAATCTAGTGATTCAATTTAAATTGATAAATTCAGTTGATTCAGTTTAAATTGGTTGGTCTAAATCCGTGTGATTAGATATAACCACCAAAAATGCTTTCTTTTAACTTCATTTTTTATTAATTATTCCTAATTGCTCAAAAATTTCTGAATATTTTCTTATTTTTTAAGATGGTATGTTCGCCCTTTAGTGAAAAACTTTGCATTCTTATAAATCTATGCATGTTTTTAACAACATGATTATTAAATAATTAATACAGACTTTAATAATTTTAATTGAAATATTTGATTCATTGATATAAATGTTTCAATGTTTGATACAACAATTAGTGTTAGGAATATTGTATCATGTATAAAAATCTGTTTAAAATTAGCTACATGATACTGATCGTTAAATATATTTTTATAGCGCTTTCATTTAGTTTTTAATCAGCAATAGAATTATCAAAAAAGGATAAAAGAATTAGAATTGTGAAAAAAAATTTAATTAAATTTTAATTTGAACAAAATAAGCTTCAAATTCAATATATGTTAAGGTAAATTCTCCTTTTAAATGTCTATTATACCTTAAACAATGCTTTTAACCTATTTTCAAGTAACCTGACTCAATGCTTAGATTTTTTTTGAAGTTTATATTTTTAACTGTAACTTAATTATAGCTACAAGCAGATTACCCAACTCCCTTCGTGACTCTAGAGTTATTACTAAATAATATTGAATAATTTTTAAAGACATACCCACTTAAAGTTACAGCTTATTAAAAACTTTATTTCGGCAACATGCTTGCAAATGGTTTATTAACAGATTACATAACAAAAGACAGTCTAAAAGCTGTGTTTATTTCAAAACAAAATACTCATTGGCGTCATTTTAAAGGTGTTAATTCCTCAACAATTACATCTTTTGAACGTAGACTTGACTACTCCATTAGCACTTTCCATTAGTGCAAATGATAAAATTACCATTAGCGCTAGAGACAGGAAAATGAATTCTTGAAACCCCGCCCATACCTCAATGGAACTTTGTAACTATCTCTCAAAGAATCAATTTCTTTTTTTCCCCTTTTATTACAATTCTTTTTGAGTTGGGAGTATTGGAATGTTTTAAGTCTTATATAGATTTTCAAATATTGATTTTTGAAATGTGCGGGGACAGGATATTGGGTGTATATAGTTTTGAATACCAATTAGCTCTAAATGAGTGGCAACTGTGTGAGAAACTATTATAGCCAATCGCATGATTCATGAAGATAGCATGATTCAATCTCGCTTGAACTGGTTTTATGTCTGTTTTAAAACTACGGGGATTTCTCTTAACCTATTATTATAATTGAGTAATGTTTCAGGAATAAATGGTCAATTGACATGTGAAAGAAGAATAGTTTGATGATTGTAAATGTTTGAAAATAAATTTGTATTTAATGCTTATGAAATACTTTAGGAAAACATAGCATTTCACCNCTAACCAATTGGGTATAATATAAAAAAAACACAACTACTTCGATTTAGTAGGAACATATGACGCAATGCTAAACGAATGGAATTTAGTTGTTGTTTATTTAGTTATTGTTATTATTAGTTGTTGTTATTTGTTTTAGTTGTTGTTGTTGTTTATTTAGTTGTATTTAGTTTCAATAACTTTTCTTTATAATGCAATAAAATCTGGCGAGCAGATATTTAAACGATCGAACACTTCGTTTGTTTATTTTTTTGGCTTGAAGTTAGACTCGCAGAAAATGCCGTTCATGGGTTAAATTTAGTAGGAACAACACAACCTGTGACGTAGGCTATATTATACCCAATAATCTTTTTTATATCTTTAGACATTATAACTAGCATTAAAATAAACGAAAACATTAAAGACATGCTCATGTTCATGAAAACATAAAAAATTATTATTTTAAATTGAATGTTGTTTCAAATTCCACCATAAAAATTAAGAAAAAATTTTCAATATGCTGCAGAAAAATATGACAATGAATGTTTATATCTCGTTTCTCGTCAAAATTATAATTTTAATGGAATTTTGCTGTGCAGCTCTATGAAAGTTGAACTAAAGAAAAATATAAACTACAGAAAGTGAGATGGAAATTATTCAAAAGTATGCATGATTAATGCTACTTGAAATCTTTAGGAGTAGATAATTGTGAATAAATTAAAGACCTAGATAAAAAAAAAACTGACATACATATTAAAAGACAATAAATATATTTCATAAAATTAGAAACTAGAAACTGAATATTTTTATAATAATTATTTTGTTTTAAATATTAAATGCAAAACCTATGTCAAAAATTTCAATGATCAACATTAACGTTGTAGCATCGATGGATTACGTCACTATATTAGTATTTCTAAAGTTATCTAATACCATATGTTTATTTTGTTTTCAATAATTCTTTTAAATTGTGTTTCTATAAAAGAAAATAATTTAAAAACAATGATAATTGAAATAAAAAAATGTAATTGTGAGAATGAAAAATAGTGCATGGTAAAATGAAAAATGGTACTAATTCGTTTAGGAGAAAGGTAAAAAGTCGCCATACTATTATTGATGTCAATGATGCTTAATTAATTCGTATTTGCATGAAAAGGTTTCGGAGAGTCATCATTCGCTCTTCATTCGCTTCAATTCTTTCAACCACTTTGGTACTTTTGTGAAGGACGGGCTTCGTCTTTGCGTTTGCCAACGGAATTTTTTCGTTTTTCCGTTTGTGTGTAACGCTTAAGGTATTCCCGTCTACGTTCTTTGGCTTTTTCAGCCTCGGTAAGTTTAGGCCTTAGCATCGTTTTTTTTCATGAGAGCTTTTGGGATCATGTCAATCTTTGGACTCTCTTTATTTGTGATATATTCACCTGAATTAGTATCGAAAACGATCCAGTTTGAACTGCAGGTTAGAATTTCTGATTCTTAATTAAAACAATAAAAACAAAAATATCGTACAAAGGATGAAATTCTCTTTTATTCGCAACTCAAAAAGTATTTACGGGATCTATCTGGTCCCGTATCTCAAAAATAAAATCGCCAACTTAATGCATAACAAAATTAAGAGAGAAAAAATGAATTCTAAAAAAATTATCAAGCAGCTGCCGTCGCCATAGCAACGCATGCGCACTGTGTGCACTATTACTCTTGATTATTGTAGTTGATAAAAAGTGATTGTGATTGATAAAAAGTGCGTCTTCACACGTATAAATATGTGTGAAGACGCCATAAAAATCCAAATAAAGACCCATTTCTCTTATGGGTAATAAATAAATAAATAAGTGGAATGATTTTAGGTTCATTAATTGTGTCCGCATATGCCTTTCTGTTCCATGTATATATTTTTCAGTTGTAAGTAGCAACATCAGTATGATATTACTTTTAACTGAAACAAGCTTCCTGGATCAAGATTCACTCTTTAAAAGAACAAAACAAGTAAAAATATGACAACGCTCTTTTTACTTAGTAAATTCTGTTTACTGTTAAATATTAAAAAAAAAGTAATTAAGCAATTTGAGAGGAACTACAAAATTTGTCCTGGCTTTGGGGAGTAAATGATTGAATACCAGCATTGATGCTGCACGCATACGAAATAATCAGGGAAGAATTGAACGTAGTCAGAATCTAGATGTCTTGGCGAAAGTCGATCCGTCTTCCAGCTAAATATGTGTGAATTTGAGACTCTAAATGATTATAAATTCGACATATATATTAGACATACATAGAGAACATAAAATAGAATATTCAGCACTCTTAGTGAACATTAAGGCATACGGCATGCTAACAATTTTTATATTTTTAAGAAATTAAGCTACATTAAATTCAATTAGTGAATTTAATTTAGCAATTATGAATTCATACCGTTTGTTCATGGTGACTAACGAAATTTTCTTAATATTTGTGAGGTAATTCTTTTTAACTATTATGTGTATTACTTTAATAACAAAGAAGTTATATTAAAAATCTGATCATGGTGACAAACGAAGTTGAATAATCTTTATGCGATTGAAATATTTTAATTATTATGTGTATTACCTCAACAATAAAAGTGCGTATAAGTTTACAATCCAAGTCCCTCATTGAAACACAAAAAGTAGTCTATTTAAATTCAAAATTAAAATTGTCTATTTTTAGTTAATAATAGATAATAATATGTATAATAATAGCATAGTGAAATAATAATATTTTTCAAGTTATATAAAATAATACTTTAAACTCACTGCAGAACAGTAAAGAGTACAAATTACTCCTAAATATATCACAGATAGTTCTATAGACAAGTCTGTTACAACACTGAAAGCTAATACTGCTCCATAAAGATTCGAAACAATAAAGAACATCTAAAAATAAACATTAAAAACTATATAAATGAAATATCATAATATTGCTGCTGTAATATTAAAAATTGAAGTGAAATAGTATTAGAAGTTAGGAGATAAAAATGTATTATTTACCATTTGTACAACGAAGAACGCTGATATAATATATCTTGTCTTGCTTCCGAACCTCATTTCCAAAAACTGAAAACATTTTTCATAATAGAAGTTAGATTTAAAAACAAAACATATTGTTGTCAGTTTCATTTTAATTTAAAACGATTTTCATATTCTGCTTAACTTAAAAATTACTTTTGGAAAAAGAAGCTTAAACTCAAAAATTTTTAGGTGTCTCATCTTAGTACAAATTATTGTATCTAAGTACGCAAGAGATGCTTTATATGCTTCTAAGAAACATTTAATTTTTTTTAAGAATAAAGTTTCTAATTTTTAATAAAAATAAAAATATTGAAGATTTCAAATTGGCAATTTTAAATTTATTTTAAAGAAGATAATCATAAATATAGTATGTTTTCCTCTTAATTCATTACTTGCTATTATTAAAATGAAATAGATATAGATAGGATTCGATATTTTTCTAATTTACAATTTTTCTTAAAATACATATTAAACTCTAAATTATATTTTTTAATTTCCAGGAGAAAACTAAAGCAAGAACTTTCAGCCTTAAATGCCTTTTTGCAGCCTTAAATGCAAAAATATATGTCATTTTCAATCAAAAACTTATACATTTATAAATTTAAGATAATTTTGATCCATTTATAAATAAAATTCAAAAAAAGCATTTACCTTGTGAACTGTTGTTACACTATAAATATGCTAGTATAAAACCCAAGATGTAATAACCATTCCAATGGACTTTATTTGAGGTGCTATAGCAAATTTCTAAAGAATAAATTTATAAATCGAAATAATTTTTGATGTTAATCATCTTGAAAAAATTCCTGATTTTCATCAGATGATGATAATCGAAATAAATTCGTTATGATGTATTATCCTTTCTATCTTCCTTAAGAGACTTCAAAAGTCAACAGTTGTTTTCACTAGGGTTTCAAAAATTTATAATAGTGGTTGTAAATTTATGTTTACGAAATTAGAATTTAAAATTCACTTTATCGTTAGAATTCGAATACGAAAAACTCTCCTGAAAAGTTACATTTATAATATTCCTAGAGACCTGAACCTCGAAGCCCGGAACTTTGCCCGGTAATGATTATGCTGAATGTTCAAATGAGTAAGAAAAAGTAAGAACGCTATTCCCAGTTTAGTTGTTGAATATGGGTTGATAACTGAAAATTAGCATCTTTTTTTCTTCTTTTTTTTTTTTTTTTTTTTTTTTTTTTTTTTTTTTTTTTTTTGCTGTATCTATTTTTGTAAACACGCAATTTAGAGCTACGACCATTTTCATAAACACACATTTCGAACTTTTCTTATTTTTGCTAAAACTCATTTCAAGTTATATAGAAATTCAAAAAATTGCTGATGAACGGGACTTTATACCATTTTTTGCCCAGCATGAGTTTTGTTGTCATTTTCTTACGTCCTTTGAATTTCGATAGATGTCAATTATAAGTTAAAATCAGTTATAAGGCAAGCAAGTTTTTCGATTATAAGTAACATTAATAAGCTGCTTAGAATAAAACTTTATACTTTAAAATTTTATCATTTTTCATGTAATAGATATCAAATTCTAAATTATAATTTTAAATTTCAAGGAAAAAATTTAAAGCAATAATTAATTTTTCAGCCTTAAGTACAAAACAAAATAATCATACTCAATCGGAAACATATAAATTTATTGAATTTTAAAATATTTCTGACCCACAAAAAAATACTAAAAAAAAAACTTTTACCTCGTAAACTGTTGATACTCCACACTGGAAATAAACTGGTATAAAAACCCAAGATGCCAAAACCATTCCAATAGGCATCACTAGAGGTGCTATAGCAAATTGGAAACCATATTTGTATACTTCCGCTGGTCCGGAAAGTATACAAGAGGGGGAAAGGAAAGTCACTACTACTGATAGAATAACTGGAATTCTCGCCATATTCCTACCGGCCAAAATGTATTCTGTTGCTGTCATTTTCTTACTTCCCTTGAATTTCGATAAAAGTCCAATACCTACTGAAATCAGTAATGAAATGCATATAACAATGTAATCAACAACACCCAGATAACTTTTACCTTCCATCCTTGTTGCGTTGGAGCTAGAAATTAAGTGTTAAGTAAGTGTTTCTAAAAAGGAAAAGAAAAAATAAATGATAAAATGTAGGGATCATTAAGAGTAAAAAATAAATCTAGAGCTAACAATTGTAAGAAAAATCATAGTATTGTATCCTTTGTAATACAGAAACACTAATTGAACCAAGAAATTAGGAATAACAAGTAGATAAATAAAACGTTAACAATCATTAAATGTATTATTTATCTCCAAATTACAAAAATATTGCTTATTGAGCTTCTTTTTCAATTTTCCGGCGGCTTATGCTAGTTTATATGTAAAGTATTTATTTAATCAAAATGGATGTTTCATTATTTTTAAATAAATGCATTAATTGTTTTTCCTAATAATTTACCAAACTGAGAGTTTGGAAGAAGAAGAGGATTCTAAGTGACATTTTGTTAAATTTAGAAACATCAGCCTTAAAAAATATTGCAACAGCAATAAATTGATTACGAAACCTATTTTCTCATTAGAAGAATCTTATTTAATGGCTTGATGAGAGAAATAAGCTTCTATATGTACAGTTCGCAAAATAAAAAAGAACTTTTAAACAGCTCTCACATTACTGCTCCAAAATGAAATAAAAAATAAAACACCGAAGAACTTTAGAACTAATGATCGGAATTTCAGAAAATCGAACTAGATTTTAATGGCTTCAGGCGCCTAATCTTAATTGTGCTAATTACACAATTAATGCAGACCATATTTTAAATTTCGAAATCAAACATAAAAACCTTTCGAGGAATAAAAATGGCTTCATATTTTTGATTCTAAAAATATAAAGGGGGCAGCTGTGATCTGGTAAACATGCACCCAAATAATTTAGGCAAAAGAGAGATCAAAAGCAATGGACTCTTTAATGTTAATTTTACTTTTTTTTTAATCTCCCCACATCTCTAAAACTTTTAAAGCGAATTGAAACTTTTTTGTAATTGATTATAAATCCCATTTATCCAAAAAAAATTCCGAGTGAAAGCTAATTTTTAATAGTTATTTATTTTATTTCAGTATTTTATTTTTAAATATTTGAAACTAGTTTTTGAATTGTACTGTAGTTTTAAATGCAACAATGCATAAAAACTGTAGTGTTAAATGCAAAAATTCAACTTATGGACAATATTGGTCAAATAGTCCTTGAAAAATTCAATTTTAAACATACAAATATCTGATGTTTTTTACCAAGATAAACGAAAGATTACCTGAAACATCGCTATTCACAGAATCGCCAGTAACGAAATCTCAACAAACAAAACCACGTATGCCGAAATAGTGATATAGTTTAGGACTAGGAAATTTTTCAACAAATTCGGAGATATAACTGAACAATCATCCTAAGCCTAAATAAATCATTGTTTGGAATGCAGGGAAATAACCTCAAACCTAAAAAATCAATGTTTAGAATACCGCGCTAGTGCATACTTAAAATCAAAATCATCATTGTTGAAAATATCGGGTTATGTCCCACACCTTAAAGAGTAAGATGGCTAAGGGCAGGATGTACCTTTATTATTAAAATTTATTTAATTTAATTTAATCTACTGTGAAATGAAGAAAAAAACTAGTTTTGCAAACTCGAAAGTTTCTGCCCTAAAATAGCAAAATAGTTTTTTTCCCTTTTAGTTTGATAAGGATAGAAATAAATTCAGTGGGTTGCGTCTCTCTAATATTAATATTTATATAAGTAATTTATGCTATTGAATAAACCTTTTCCCTCTACCATTCAACTTAACTACAGATTAAATGTCCATACAACTTCAATAAAAAAAAGTATTGCCTGAATAACCCTAATACTCGACTTAGCTATATGATTATTCCTAGACATTCGATCACTAAGAAATGTTTAGGAGTTTAAGATAGATTAAAGGCAGAAGTATTATTGCTTTTTATTGATGAAACAGTCTTCCAAGTAATCATATGAAAGAAATTAGATTGTTTTATTTTATCGATACTATCTGTTTCTTATTTTGGCAAAATGTCAGGATAAAACACTAAAACTACTTAGTATAACAACAGACTAGCGTATTAATAGAACTTGCCAAAAGAGATCAAAATTATATTTTTGTTATCGACTATGTTTTGTTATCGAGCCCCAAATTTAGTCTACGCACATTTGAAGATACGGTGGACCTAACTATTTATATTTCAACTCTATCTGATGACTGGTTCACGCGCTACGTCCCATAGAACAGGGTTACAACTTGAATAATGCAACAGCAGCAAGATTCAAAAATAAATATTTTAAATTTAAATGACTTTTTTTAAGAAAAGAAGCCAATTCATTGAAAAGTTTGTGACTAAAGCTTATTTTTACAATCACAATTAAAACATGCGTGAAATATGTGTATATAAATGTAAAGTGAGTTTTGTTTAGTTAAGATTTCTAACTTTTTTCTGTTTTTGATAAACTAAATCCTAAGAATTGGAAATGGAATAGAAAGGGACAGCAAATAACGAAAAATAAAAGTTAAGTAAGCATCATTTCAGCGAGTAGTTTGTAAGAGGATTAAATAATTATTGCAATACTATAACACTAGTTTTTAAAAATACTATTATAAAAATACTAGTGCCTTTGGTTTGAATTGATTCGGAAGACATAAAAAAATCACCTAACTCTAAACGACGCGAATATCGTATTTGTGAGTTTATGTAGGGAAAAAGACATAAGAAACTAAAAAAAGAATTTATTTCAATTTTGAAAGCTATAAAAAAAAATTTTAACCTTTTCAAGATCAGGATTTAGAGTTCAGATTTTATACTGCTTTCCAAAATTAAGCAAAACCATAATTATTTTCAAACGGCATAATGATCTCTCTTCAGTCAAAATATCTTTTTAAATAGTGATGGTCATCTTTGTTCATTTGCTTTAAATGTCATTAATTTTTTTGCGTTTAACATGAGAGTAACTTGCGTAACTAAACCTGTTACAAATAAAAGCTATAAAAATTAGAAATTTGAAAATACGCAAGAGCGTAAAGAAATATACCGAGAGTTAAAATCAATAAAATGATTATCAGTTCGATGATAGTTCCAGAACTTGGTTCTTGCATTTAAAAAAGGAAGAAGACCACAGATATCCACACACGTGAATTATGACGTCAGCTTCAGCTAATTACTTATAAGCAAGATGGCGTGTTAAAGGTGAGCTAAATTTCTCCACATAAATTAGAATGTTGATTAACGTGAAGTTAATTAAATACCACGCGCTGTTTCGAACATCGAAATTGCTGAAATATAATTCTTTCACGTCCGCATCTTTTCTTAACTTGGATTTACTATTTGTTTATATATTTTATTGCACCCTTGATATAATTTTATTTCGTGTAACTGAGAACTTCAATACATAATCAATTTGTTTATGTTTTACATGGCTTCGTGCCTGTTTTTGTGTTAAGAAACATATAGTGAAAGAATTGAAATATTTGTGACAGGATCATTGTGAAAGAATGTAGAATGTGTCAGTCATTTAAGAATTGATTTTTCATGAGCTTGGTTTACTCTAAATAGAAGAGAAAGAACAGTTGCTAAAACAAAAAATACCACATTTCTACAATCAATCAGGATTATCCAATTCTTAACTGTAGAATTTGTTGTATAAAATATCCTGCGGACACTTTGCAACAGGCAAGGAATACAAAGGACTTTTACTTCCCTCTTAATATTTTTTGAAGCCAATTGAGTTTTTATCCTCAATTATATTGTTTTACATTTGAGTCTTGATCATTATTTTGATAAGGATTTAATGCTCGTTAAATTAAACATATGCATTTTAATATTTTAACAGGATTCATGTGGTTTTTAAAAACGTAAGATAACCGTAGCATCAATATTGTAACTATCAAATTTATCTTTAACTTTAAAATTAAATTTTTGAGACCAGATATTTTGAGTTAATGAAAATGAATATTTTATCTTTAAAGTTTTTATGTCCCCATTTCAATATCTTAAGGACCTTACGAACTCGGTTGAAAAGGAGAGTATCATATCAGATATATATATATAAGAAAACAAACATAATAGCGTTATTTGGTGGTAAATGTAGCTTATCGTAATTGAAGAACATGATGTGCGTCATTTTATGGTGAATTTGAGAACATCAGTTTCTGAATGTATCGAAACATGAAGATGCTATTTGCAAATCATCTTTATCCAAAGAAAACCATGTAGCCTAAATATTTAGCAGAATGAAGCGATTCTTTAAACAATGAATAATAAAATATGCAACGTATTATTTCAATATCTTATTCGTAAATATAACATATTTCAATGTTTTTATAATGCCACTTAAACTAAACTCAGCGGCGCAACTTGCAACTTACAGTAGGCCTTGCGGGCCAAGGCCTACTGTGCCCATCTCAGTTTTCTTGACCTTGGGCTCCGGGGTGCAGGAGCAGATGTTCCGGTCAGGTGGTCAGCCGAACGCGGAACCCCCAGTGTTTAGTTCCCAAGCATGCTTGGTACTCATTTATCGACCCACTGAAGGGATGAAAGGCTGAGTCAGCCTTGCCCGGCCCGAGGATCGAGCCAGAGACCTGTGGCACGACAGCGCGGAGCGCTTCCGCTCAGCCACCGGGCGTCAAAATGCCACTTAGCATTCAGCAATTCCTTGAGTTATGGAAAATAGAAATATCGTAAATTACAGAAACCCTTATGATTGTGCATTAGAATTAACATACAATCTACATTTTATTTTTCAGGCATTTTTTTTTCTTCAAACTTTCTTGCCTAGAAGACTCGATTAAAGCTGTAAAAATGATTATCCCTAAAATTTTGTATATAGTTAAAATAAGTTATGTAAATTAGATTTTAGAATGAAATCCTCCTTT